GTGTCGGCCTCCGGCGATTGGGGGAGAAGTCCAGCCTGGACCACGGCATACATGCCGACTTCGGAGGCCACCCGAATTTTACGTACCGGCTGCCTTCACCACGGCGTACGACGAGGTCGACGACGATCTGCTGTACGACGATGCCGAGGAGGATGAAGAACTGCCGGAGCTCGACCCCGACATGCACGCCGACCCCGAGCACCACTGGGACATCTCCACGATGATGGTGAAGGAGGCGTTGGCGAGCTGGAAAGGCAAGGCGGTGAAGGCCGCCTGCAGAAGTACCTCGGGCTGGAATCGTGCGCGACAGGCTGGCGAGGAAGCTGTGGCTACACCAGCAGGGCTACGCCGACAAGCTGCGTAGGCGATTCCTCGACGAGGAGCGGACCGGGACGCACCCCGAATACGCCGGTCTCGGTCGACGCCTACGCCGAGCTCACCTTCGACGATGAGGAGGCGCAGAAGCGCCAGGAGGAGGAGTACCGGCAGAAGGTCGGCTCGTTGCAGTTCGCGACGACGATGACGAGGCCGGACATCCCCTTCACCTGCAGCAAGCTGGGGAGAGGCCTCACGGTGAGGAGCGACCAGCACTGGCGCGAGGTCGACCGTTGCCTCGCCTACCTCGCGAACATGCGTGACACCGCCCTGGAGTTCGGCGGTGGACCAGAGTCGCTGGAGCTGGTCGGCTACGTGGACGCCGACAACGCCGGTGACAATAAAAAGCCGGACGAGCACGCGAGGCTACGTGTTCGTCTACGGAGGTGCCGCGGTCTCTTGGTCGAGCCAGCGAATCAACTGCGCAATGCTGTCGTCGACCGAGTCAGAGTACGTGGCGGCCACTGAAGCTGGCAAGGAGGGACGCCGCCTTCGTTTCCTCCTTGCAGAATTCTGGCAGCTGGATGTCGGGAAGAAGACTGTCTTCCGAGTGGACAACGGTCGCCGAGGGTATGTGGTTGACGGGTAACCTCAAGCACATGGAGCGGCGACAGGCATGGCTGCAGCACATGGTGAAGCGCGGGAAGTTTTCGCTGAAGTACATCCCGACCGCTGAGCAGCCGGCCGATTACCAGACGAAGGCGCTGCACTACCCGGCTTTCAACCGGTGCTCCGTCGCAATCGGCTAGGTGCGCCTGGCTGACTTGGGCGGCGGCGGCGACGACGTGCAGCAGTAGGTGCCATGCCCTTTAGCATGGCTGGTGCGGTGACCGGCGTGCTGTGTGTCGTGTTCACGCTGCTGAGCTTTTCTTCGAGAAGTGCCGCCGTGTGGGCTGGGGGGGCCCAAGCGTGAACGCGGCAGGGGAGTGTCAATGGGAGTTATGTTAGGCCTCGTCCTCGCTTGGGCGGAGCCGACTTCGTGGTCGGGTGTGCGGGGAATGCAGCCGACCTGCAGCAGTGGACATGGGGGCCACTGCAAGGGCGCCGAGCTAGAGGGCGCCTGGCTGTAGGGCGCCGAGCAGGAGAACGCCGTCCTGGGCGTCTGGGCGTCGTCCTGAGCGCCTGGACGGCGTCCTGGACGCCTGGACGGCGTCCTGGGAGGCTAGACACCGACATGGGCGTCTGGTCGGCGTCCCGGGCTTCTGGACGCCGACCTGGGCGTCTGCACGGCTTCCCGGGCGCCTGGACGCCAACCTGGGCGTCTGGTTGGCGCCCTGGACGCTTGGACGCCGGTCTGGGGACGCCGGGCTTGTGCAGCCGGCGACAGAAAGGGCTGGTCGACTAGACGTGGTTGCCCGGTCGACCGGGATACCCGGGCGACGTGTGCGAAGGTCGTCGGGGTGGTTTCTGCGAGGCCGACCTCGGGGGTGGTATCCCGAGGTCGACGTGGCTGGTGGGCGCAGTCGCTGGCGTGGAGTCGTCCTGGGCGTCTGCGCTGTGCACGTAACGAGGAGTAGTGCACCAACCAGTTGCACGCACCTGCGAAGCAGGTGCACCGTTGTCCTGCAGGTGCAACGGTGTGCAGCCGACTTGCTGCAGCGTTGGCACACCATGAACGTGCAACATTGGCGAACCGCTACTCTGCAACGCTGGAGCGGTGCAAGCTCTACTGCGCTGGATGGCGGTCGACCGTGTTGCGTTGGAGGTCGACCAGCAGCCTAGCTAGCTCTGATGTAGACTGTGTTGCCAACTTTGTTGCCACCATTGTTGTAAACTTTTGCTAGTGAAACTGTTGCCAACTTTCCCTGTGAATGCGCAAGTAGAGTGAGCACAAGTGAACGACTAAGGAACGAAATCTACGATCACTCCTACCCCGTGCCTACCCCGTAGAAGCTCCCGTTGATAGAGTTATCTCCGCAACAGTACACTGTTGTATTCGCCTTATTGAGGGCTTCAGTTTGGTACCTTCATAACCAAATTTCATTTTTGCCATTATAAAAGTGCAGCCGCTTATGGCCGCTACTCGATTGCAAGAGCTCCCCTTAAAAAAATGAATTTATTATAAGTGCATATGCACTACTATCCGGGGCCAGACGGTACAAGCAATGCAAGCATGCAAGTGGTGCACCACAAATATTATGCTACACTACACTAGGTTAATGCAAAGGGCAGTTACATATATATGAATTCATTTCTTGACACGCCCCCATAACTGCCTGCATCAATACCCATGTGCAGCAGCACCAACTACCATCATCGCCCGGATAAAGACATACTGGTAATGATGTTGCAAGAGTCGTTTTGCTGCCAGCATCACATGGATGCTTCCAAAACGCCTGGTGGCACGGTGGCAGCGTGAGAGCTGTCATGTGCAGTCCTCTACGAGGTCATTCCTCGTAAAGGAGCGGCTCGGCGGCCTCAGGAGGGGGCACTCTGGCTGGGGGGGTCATTGACCTCGAGCTTCATTTGGTGCTCATGGAGGTTGAGATTATCTCAACCACTGCTCTCGGCAGGCTGAACCATGCGTAGCAAAGTCCCCCAAAGCGCGGCGCCCCCTCGCCCTCATGTGCACGTTAACAATTATGGGCGCATGAACTGGCCCGGTGATATCATCCGTGTAGCGATGACCAACGAGATGCATAAGACGATATCCATGGCGGGATGCTCTAAGGCTGCTTCAGGAGCGAGTTGTGACGAGGGCGACGGCGATGGAGACCACGGCAGCGAGTGCAAGGAAGATTGGCGGGAGAAAGGGCACGACGACAGCGCTTCAGGTGATGACGTACCTGCTGCGGCATTGATGATGACGAAGGGTGGAATCAGCCGGTTGGCTCTGGCGACGAGGCGGAAAAGTGGCGCGCCGGTGACTCTGACAATGACAAAGGCGCGGATGCGGAGGCAGATCGTGAGAATGCTGGTTTGGCGAAAAGCAAGGTCGTGGAGATCCCTTCCAAGGCTGGCGATCGCCGCCGCACAATCAAGAAGAAGAGGAAGAACGACGGCGAGCCGGGTTCCAGCAAGGGTGCGGCGAAGAAGAAGAAGAAGAAGCCCGTGAAGGGCAAAGACGACATCGTCGTCAACGAGGCGCTCGGCAGCGACGATGACTATGCGAAGGCTGCTGGTCCCCTTCCGTCATTCCTTGAGAAAGCTAGGCCTAAAGACCCCACCACCCATAATTCCGACTGCCGTTCCCCTTCCCCACGCAATTGCAGTATCAAGAGGACTAGGCGTTCATGGAGCGTGGGCGAGTGGGTGCGACGCTACAAGGAGCTTGGCTCCCTCAAGAAAACCTCGGCCAAATCCATTGCCTCCATCGCGTGCATCCGACGCTGGAGCGCGCAGGCTGTAGTGGGCATATACAAGGGTGCAGCGAACTGCGCATGGGGTGGCGATCTCGTTGGAAGACACTCAGAAGTGGAGTCGTGAGTGGATGAAGAAACACTACCCCAAGAAGGTTTGGAACGCGAGCTCACAGTGGAGTCAACGTTTCCGCGACCGCTGGAACTTGGTCATGCGTGTGAAGACCAGGGTTGGCCAACGGTTGTCGTCTAGTGAGTGGATTTAGGGGTGGAATTCGCATGGGGACATGGACTGTTTGTGCCTAGCATTCGTGCCACGACCTCACATATTCATTCCTTGGCAGAGTGCGCTAAAGATTGTAAAGCTTTCTGGAAATTCATGAGGATCAACAGGGCGTGTCACAACATCGACCTGGCCCGCATCATCAGCGTGGACCAGACACCTCTCTTTGTTGAGATCCCGGCCAAGAGAACGCTTGACCACCGTGGAGCACGCTTTGTCCCGATCCACGCTGTTGGGTACGAGAAGACGCGCCTGACAGTAATGCTCGACTGCACAACATTCGGGGAGAAGCTGCGCCCGTGGGCTTGGTTCAAGGTGAAGAACGCGCCGCGATGTGACATTCCGGAAGGTAAGCCAAACGAACACGGTTTGCTTGAATGTTGTGACGGTCCTTCTTGGCCTAAACCCGCCTCTCCCTCTGTACCTAGCAGGAGTCGATGTCCAAGCACATGAAAACGGGTGGATGGACGAGAGCGCTGTGCAGACATGGCTGAACATGGAGGTGCTGCCCCATCTCAACCCCAAGCGCGGCCAGAACGCGAGCCGTGCGATGCTGGTGTTAGACTCCTACCGAGGCCACATCGCCCAGGGCATGCTTCAAGCCTACCGCACGCACAACATCACCCTGGCCGTGATCCCTGCGGGTTGCAGCAGCCAAATTCAACGCCTGGACGTCGCTATCATCCGGTGCTTCAAGGCCGCGATGCGAGCACGCTACGCGAGGTGGTTCATGCGTGAAGGCATTCACCTGAAGACGAAACATGGTGAGTACACGGTCGATGATCATGAATATCACCCCTGTTTCTTCTTGATGTATCTAGCAACTCGCTGCCCCTGCCTCTGACCCACCGGCAGGGAACCTGAGGAGGCCTCCGCACCACGTGGTGGTGCAGTGGATTGCTGAGGCGTGGGAGCAAGTCCCCACGAATGTCATCATTGATGCGTTCCGCCATTGTGGGATTTCAAGCAAGCTGGACGGGACCAAGAACCACCTGGTGATGTCTCACCTGCGCGAGAGGAGCACCACCAATGTCTCCCAAGACATGTGCCTCGGGGGGACCACGGGCGACAACACGTGCCTGCTTGGGCAAGCCCCGGAGGAGGAGGAGGAGGAGGAGGAGGAGGAGGAGGAGGAGGAGGAGGAGGAGGAGGAGGAGGAGGAGGAGGAGGAGGAGATGCAAGCGGAGGGCGCCAGGGAGGTGGGCGTGGCAACAGGGCTGGAGGTGTTATACCAGGAGACGCCCAACTACCGCGGAGCGGCGGCCGAGGCTGACCGCATGATCGAGCCCAGCCAGACAGCCTGGCACGCCTGGCGAGTGCCAGACTTGGGGGTACAGGAGCCTAGTGCAAATGAGGAGGGCGTCACCGAGGGGGCCTTTGTAGAACTAGCGAAACTATGAATGTATGCATGTGCCCCCCTAAATGCAACAAGAACCGTCTAGAAGACACCCCCCTCTTTATAAGATAACCCTAGAATCCTTGTACTGCATTACATGGGGTTGGCACAGAACCGCGCGTGCTAGGGTCACGCGACGGGCAGCACGAAACGAAAGATACGCGGTGGGTCCATTGGGTAGTTAAGAAACAACAGGGCAGGATCTTACGTGCTCTGATAGCATGTCAAAATCAGGACTAGAACTTAGTAGCCATAGCCAGGGTTATGTTAGCTAGGCAAGGAGGCGGCGAGATGAATTGGGCAAAGAGGGTTGGCATTAGAAGAGAGCCGTGGGTTACACAAGCAATGCAGGCCCGCACCGCAAACATTATGCTACACTACAGATTCATTTCTTGACACATACCGTATCAGGCCAACCTCCAGGGCCTGTGCTAGGATTTTCATCATCCTGAGCCTTCACTAATGCCCTGACTTAATAGTGCAGATTTTCTGAAGCATCATGAACTTTCAGGGTAACAATGATGTATCATACTCCTGTTATCTTAGGGTTGTTTTCCCAAAGCAGTCTTGATCGTGTTTGGAAGGGGAAAGCATCTGGAGACTACTTAACAATGATATATCATACGCCCAAGTAAATTGTGTGCCACTACTTAGGGAGGGGCATGCATATAGTATGCGTACCCCTCCTCCTGCCTTCACCGCCCCACTTCCCCGTACAAAAATCCTAGCTAGGTTCGTATCCGCGTCAAGGCACGCCTCGACATTCATCCTGGAATTTCAGGGGGCACTCATTCCATTATCCTGAACTTAAAGGGTTCAAAATACCCCAACCCTGAAATTTCAGGGCAAGACCCCTAGGCATACCCTAAAAGTCAAGGTATGAGAATGTTTTACCCCTGATATCTCATATCAGACTCACACGAAACACATCAATCTCGGCTTCATTTGATTGTTTATTGTCTAATTCCTGGTTTGATGCGTGTCAAAAAACGTAGGGTGATTTTCGCAGCCCTGAACCTGACAAAACAAAAATCGTCTGTGTGTGTCAAGTGTGATTGCCTGATGTGGCTGACAAAGCATGTGACAGAGTTTGTGCGCATTGGGTTCATCGCGCAGCACAGTGACGGGTTCATTGCAGCACTGTTCGATTTGAACCCGACAACACAGTGCTACGTGTGTTACAGTATTTCAGCTACACGGACGTGGTTTGCTGATGTGGCACGCCTAAAAGGCTTCGCGTGTCTGCGCTTTTTTCTCGCGCTATACAAGTCCTAAATTTGGGTTTTAGAACAGATTTATCGTGTTTTTCCAATTCTGATATAAGGTTGGCCTGATACAGTATCAGGTCATAGGAACATGCTCTTACCTATTATCCAAACTATAAGGCACGGCTGTGTTGTACACCCATATTTTACAAAACGAGTTTTTCAAGGACCCTTGCAATAAAAGGTACAATTATTCTGACAAGGCTGATATTTCAGAGTGAGAGTGTACACAGCCTAATGACGAAGAGCGGTTTCGGGTACCACACTGACGAGTTTTACGGGGGGGGGAAGGGGGGGGGAATCATCGACGTGATTACTACCGTAATCAGCGGAATTAATAGTGAGTTTATACATTGCCTTGACGGCTCGTGTCCCTACGCCCCAATTCAAGTGTCGTCAGGATCAAGACTAGTTTGCCTGCCTGGCGGTAACGAGGCCGGTGTCGCAGGTGAGCAACATAACGGATGTTTACGGGAATAGAGTTTGGCCCAGCCCTTGCTTGGGCAACGCCGACGACCTAGTCGGATGCTCGGGAGAAGCAGCCGACCGTACGCAGTGAGGGAGCTGCTCGACGGGCCTCGTCGAGCTGCAGGGGATCGCTGCGGTGTTGCCGTCGACCAGGGAGCTCGACGGCCTTATTCTGCACAAGTCTGATGCGGGGCTGGAGCCGTCGACCAGGGGAGCTCGACGGCTGCAGCTGACTGGGCTGGTCGACGGACGGGCCGTCGACCAGGAAGAGCAGTTCGACAGGGAGGTCGACGGAGCAGTCCGTCGACCTGTATAGGACATGTAAGCAGCAGTCGACGATAGCAGCTGACAGAGCTGGTTGACAGAGGGGTCCGTCGACCAGGGTGTTCCTTGACGGGAGCTGTGGTCGACGAGGGAGGCGTCGACCAGAGCACTGGGTGCTCGACCAGGTCGACCAAGTAACCTGAATGTACCCTAAACCTGGCTGCACGCGAACGTCGTCGAGGTCGTGATGGCGACGGCGACTTCGGGCTGGTATCCCGAAATTGATGTGGCTCGTCAGGCACAGACCAGGGCCGACGGAAACACAACGATGCAAGTCGGGCCAATCGTCTGCGCGCACCTTCGAGTGTGCACACTGCTGCCATCTACGGATGCAATGCTGGACAGCCGCTCTGCTGCAGCGTTGGCACGCCGTAGACATGCTGTCTTGGCAGGCTGCGGTGCTGGCGCGGCTCCTCTACGCAACGCTGGCAGGCGGTCGACTATGCAGTGCTGGCGGTCGACCAGGCTAGCTGCAGAGTTGCTAGGTGCCTGATGTAGTCATTTGTTGTCACTGTAATTGCTATTATTCTGTAATGCAAACTTTGCTAGTGGAAACTCTTGCCCAATTCTCCCGTGAATGTGCAAGTGCTTAGGAACTAGGAAAAGCTACAATCACTCCGAGAGTTCGTGCCAACTCGCACAACTCACCACCCACCACCACAAGCAGGTCCACTCTCGCTCACCCCCAGTTTACTTTTCATTCACTCAAGCTCTCGTTGTCCCACCTCTAACACGCATAGCTAGAAGCTGTTATCCTTCTTCATGGATCCGCCGGAGGCCATGGATGATGTCGTGTGATAAGGGAAGAATAAGTGGTTTGTATATTTTGTATATAGGTGAAGGTGGACTGGTAACGAGGAAATGGGACAGTGGAGTGGTGAGGGCGGGGAACAAGGCAGCCGATGGGTCAGCCGAGCTGGCATTGGGGTGAGAAGGAGTGGTGGGGGAGACGGGAGGAATAGCTGGATGTTGCTGCTTTTGCTTGGTATGCGTGCGTGTAGATGTACATGTTTTGTGTTCTGCAGGTTGACTGCCTGAGCCAGCTGGAACTACAGGCGCTAGCTGGAAGTTGGAATAAGGATGGCTAAGTGACGGTGGGAGAAAGGCGGTGGGGGTTGGCCCTTCCCTATCGCGAACGGGCCTTCTCCCAAGGGCGGAGTCAGAGGTGTAGCAATTGGGGGAGCAAGGCTTGCCAAACCGTACACTCTTTTACTGGAATATTTTCATGCGCGGCTAAGCGCAGCAATACAGCACCATTTAAATGCTTAAACGATGTACGGAAATTTACCCTAGCCAACGAGAGTGCTTGTGAAGTGGCGGATTTCACTATCCATATCGAGAAGTTGCGCAAGCTTTTTAAAGCAACGTGCAAAGATGTTGGCGTCAATATTGATAACGAAATATGGGGGTTACGGGCAATTGACCAAGCACTATTTTGTCAAACTAAAAATTACTAGTTTGATTAATTCTAGTCTAGGTGTACTTCATTTGTCCAATGTTTTGGGTTAACCTTGAAGATCAAAACCATATATATGATTGTAGGCTATATTGGGACACCCTCTAAGGGGTATGCTCCTTTTGTGGTTAGGCATATGTACTAACTTTCAGTCAACCCAATCTATTCTGTTGTTCACATCTTTGACATGGTATCATACGCTAAGTTAGGAATGATCCTAGATCCTATGCCTGTAACTGCCCTTCGTGCGCGCCGTGCGCTGCCTACGCGCGCGCCCCACGCTACCCTAAACGCGCGCACCGTGCTGCCCTTCGCGCGCGCCCCCGCGCTGCCCTACGTTCGCGCCCCTCGCTGCCCTTCATGCCCGCCCTGCGCTACCCTTCGCGCACGCTGCGCTACTGCAGCCTTTGCGCTGCTACTACCCTGGTGCCGCCAGTGTGCGCCGTCTGCGCTGCCGCCGGCGCACCACCCACTGCGCAGCCCGCTGCCACTAAACCGCGCCCCCTGCCATGACGACCGTCACTGTAATAGCGTTTGACGAAGAGGGGCACCCTATAGAGTTCGTGTCCTCACTAGAGGATCTGCACCTGTACCTCCAAAGTGTCACTAGCACGCGTCGGGGTCCCTTACAGCCCCTGCGACTCTAGCTGAGCCTGCTACTAATGCTGGGGAGGAGGTGCAACAGCAGTACCGGGCTGACCACGTTGCCTGCACACGGTGGACGGCACGCGACGCCACCGATCGGCTTGCTGTCCGCGCTCACGTGCCACTCGACCAGAGGGCCCACTTTTGCCAGGTGACGTCGGCCCATGCTCTCTACGACGCTGTGGTTAGACGCCACTCCTCCCACTCTGCTGCCACCATAGTGTCAACGGGAGTTGTGTGTTGGCCCCGTCCTCGCTTGGGCGGAGCCGACTTCATGGTCGGATGTGAGGGGAGCAGCCGACCTGCAGCAGTGGGCGAGCTGGTTGACGAGGAGGTCGACCTGCACGGGAGCCACTGCACGGGCGCCGACTTCAGGGTGGCGCCGACTTCAGGGAGGTCGACCTGGGAAGTCGACCTGCGGAGGGCGTCAACTTGGAGACGCCAACTTGGGGGCAGCCGACTTGGGTGGTCGGCTGACAGGACTACTGGTCGACCTGGTGGTTGGTCGACCAGGCGTGATGTCGACCTGGTGGTCGACTAGACCTGGTGGTCGACGGAGGAAGGGCCGACGTCGACCTCGACTCAGGACGCCGAGCAGCAGGGCGTCGAGTAGTTGGGCGTCAACTTGGTGACGCCGACTTCGGGTAGCCGACTTGGGTGGTCGGCTGACAGCTGCGCTGGTCGACGAGGAGCTGGTCGACCAGGAGTGCTGGTCGACGTGGAGCTTGTCGACCAGGAGGGACGTCGACCTGGAGCTGGTCGACCAGGGGTGTGGTCGACCTGGTGAGGTCGACTTGGGGTGGTCGTCGACTTGGGAGGTCGACGGGCACATACAGGAGCAGCTGGTCGACATGGTTGCCCGGTCGACCAGGTTACCTGGGTGACGAAGTCCTACGGAGGAGTGCGACGGTCGCCCAGGCGAAGTTGGCGAGTCCGACCTTGGTGGTGGTATCCCGAGGTCGACGTGGCTGATCAGATGCAGACTTCAGCGCCAGATTGACTTGGTGTGTGCGCTGTGCAGGTGACGAGGCTCAGCACGCCAATCACCTGCGAGCACCTGCGAAGCTGGTGCGATGCTGTACTGCGGGAGCAACGCTGGCACGCCGTCAACCTGCGACGTTGGCACGCCGTCGACTTTGCACTGCTGGAGCGCGGCCGACCAAGTCGTGCTGGAACGCGGTCGACCGTGCTGCGCTGGCAGTCGACCGACCTGAATGCTAGCTCTGATGTAGTCTTGCCATGCCAACTTCATTGTACCAATTGTTGTCAACTTTCTCTAGTGAAACTCTTGCCAATTCTCCCTGTGAACTAGCAAGCTGTGTGTGCACTAGGAAAACGACTAAGGACCAACGAACGCAGAGATCACACGAGCACCCGTGCCTAGCCCGTAGTCTAGCTCCCGTTGTAGTAGTTATCTCCGCATGGTGCGGTGAGCGTGGACGGCACACGAC